TCATTATATTTAAATAAAATTTGAACTTTAATCCCTTTAATATAATTTTATAAAAATCTCTTTTTCATATAAATTGAATTTGATAATGTTGGTCCAATTACTAATAAAAATAATTCTTTCTTTTATTTTTTTAAATTAGAATTTAATATTTTCTAAATAATCAATATTTTAAATTTTTTATAAATTTTTAAAATATTAAATTTAACATTTTAAAAATATTTTTAAATTTTTAAAATTCATTTTTTTATTTTATAAAATCTAATTTTAATTTTTTTTTTAAAATTCAATATTTTGAAATTTTTTAAATTTTATAAGATTTTCTAAAAGTATTAAATTTAAAAATTTTCAAAATTTTAAATTTTTTATATTTTGAATTTTTTTTTCAAAATTTAACATTTTATTTAAAAAAATATTTAATTTTAATATTTTATAATTTTTATAAAATTTTTTATATTTTTATTTTTTGTGTTTTTAAAAAGAGTTTATAAATTTAAAAAATTTTCTACATGTTTGTTATGTTATTCAGTGAAGAATAAATCATAATTAAAACTTCCTCGTGCTTCACTATTATTTAGTTTTTACCTCATATTTTTATGCTTTTCAACCTCAAATATATCAGAACAAAAAAAAAAAATTCTAAATACCTATGTCTTCTTTTCTAATTTATTTTTCATTTAAATATTTAAAAATATGGAAATTTACTAAAAAACATGAAAATTTTAAAATTTTTAAAAAACTAAAAAAAAAATAAATATTTTGATTAAATAAAATGTTAAAGTTTCAAAAAAATAAAAAAGCACAAAAATAAATTTTATTTTAAAAAAATTAAAATATTGAAATAAGTAAATTTAGCATTTTTAAAAAATCTAGAAAATTTTTAAAAATAAAAATGTTAAATTTTTCCAAAAATAAAATCTAATTTTAAAAATAAAAGATTATGATTTTTTAAACATTAAAATATTTAAAAATATACTGAATTTAATATTTGAAAAAGAAAAAAAATTCTAAAAAATTCAAAATATTAATTTTTTAAAAAATTAATATTTGATTTTAGAAAAAGTAAAAAAAAAATGATTTTTATTAGTAATTAGATTAACATTATTAAATTTAAGTTGTTTGATGATGAGATCTTTGTGAAATTATGCTAGAGAAACTAAATTTTCAATTTTGTATGAATATAAAAATTATTTGCATAATTTAATAATTAATTTTATTCGTATAAATTATCACATAAAAAGTCAATGGCATGTCAGTAAAGTCTAGCCTTATGTCATTAAGTCAACAGCAATGTCAATATTTTTTGCAGTAAAATATTAATGAAATTAGTGATTATATTAAAATTATCAAATCAAAATTATATGAGAACTAAATTTATATAAATTATATTAAAAAGATTAAATTTTAAATTTAAATTTTTACCAAGTATAAAAATTTCTAACATATTTAACAGACTAAAATATATTGAAAAAGTTCATCTATGAATAAAAAAGTATAAATATATGTAATATAAAAAGTAATTAAGAAGAGTAGTGTACATTCATAGGATATTTTAAATGGATGAACAATTGTGAGCTTTTTAAAATAAATTTTTTTTGAAGTACATTAAAATTATTAAGAGAGATTTACTTATATCAGTGTAAGTTTTACACTATTTATTAATTCTTATCTAAAAGTCATAAAAAAGAGTGTAAAGTTTTATATTGATATAAATAGATCTCAACTCGAAAATTATAAAATTATTGTCATTATTTTTAAGTAAAGTAATGAAGATGATTCTTATTCTATTTATAAATCTTAATTTTTATTCTTAATACTTGAGTTTAAAATTTAAAATTAAAAAGCTTTTTAGGGTGATCTTTTTATGTAAGACAAGAAAATATTTTCCATAATTAAAAATGATAATATAAATATATATTTATAAAGGATGCCATAATTTATAGATATGAAAAATAATTATAAGTCCAAAAATTCGAACATCAAATTTGTTAGATGATGTCTTTTAATAATAATTATATAAATTAAATGAATTAAAATCTAAATTAAAAAAATTATGAACTAATACTTTTTTTTATGAAATGCTTGGGCAAATGTTCTTAGACAGATGCTCATAAAAACACTTTCTCTGTTTTATTAAAAAAACATTGAGATGTCAGTTAAAAAAAAAAAGAATTAAGATGTCAAAAATTGACATGCAGTGAATAAATTCATGGAACTGGATAATTGAACTAAGCATCCGTTAGTGAAATTTATGTAAGGTTGCTATAATATAATAAAAAAATCACCAACTTAAATCGATATTAATCTATTTTAAATGATATTTTATATTCATTAAATTACTTACTTACCAAAATTTGGAACATATTTATGACGTATATGATTGGAAATATGAATTTTGAGAAAATGAATTTGAATTTTCATTTGTTATATAAATTATAAAAGTAAAATGCATATGCACAAAATATTTAATATTTAATATGGCTATATAATTTAAATGATATAAAAAAATTAATTTCAAATTCACAAATGTTGTTATATTTGAAAAGATTAAATTGAGAGAGTAGATTTAAATTTATTATGAGAATGAATTTATTATTTTTTAAAATAATATGGTTCTATATTTGAATGGTATAAAAAGATAAATTTTAAATTCGCAAAATTATTATAGGTATTTTAAATTCATAACTAAATAGACATCCGACAAATTTAAAAATTTAAAAAGTAATCGAGAAAGTTGTATTTACACTAATTTTAAAATTCAAGTTACCAAATGTAATACTTCAAATTCATCGCATTAAATAGATTTTCAAAAATTTATATATATGAGAAATTTTTCGATACACTAGTAGTGTAATTTTTAAATTCTATAAGCAAGTTTAACATGATAACATAAGTTTTTTAGTGTACATTTAAAAAAATAAAAAATTAATTCCAAAAAGAAGTGTGACATGTATTACCATTTTAACTTCGTTTGTGAAATTAAAATACTTCATTATTAATGTATCAAATAATTTATTTTTGTATTTTAAAAAAATAATGAATCAATTTATATTAACGTAAAACTTTTTAGTTTTATATCTCTTTTAACTATTGATTTCATTAGATTATAGGGATAATATTGAATCATTTTTCTCTCTTTGATTTGTTTCTCTCATCTATTAAATTTATTAAAATTAATAATTAAAAAAATATAAAATCAAAAAGTTTTACAATAATGTAAGTTAACTCATTTTGTTTAAAAAATAATCATGAAAATTAAATTTACATGTGTTCTATCACATAATTTACACTAATTTTAAAATCTAAAAATCTATTTTTAAAAGTCAAATTACCATGCTAGTTTTCAAATTTTTTTGAGAGAATGCTAGTTTTTATTTTAATTAAGTGGTTTTTATTTTAATTAAGTAAATTTTATCAAGAAAATCAAATTTATTATGTTGTTTAATTAGTAAATACTGGCCACTACTTTTAATAAAAATACTTAACTTATCGCAAAAAAATGTCAATCAGACCTTGGTTTAATGTAAAAAAAAAAAAACTTACAATCTTGAGGTTTTAGATTTAAGTGTATTGTATATGGGTTTACTTTAATTTAATTTTTATTAGATAATTGTCTAATTATATTTTAATTTATTGATTGATTTATTGATAATTTAGTTATATAATATTTAATTATGATTATAACTTATAGTTTTATATATATAAAAAAAGCCTGATAGTCAAAAGATCAAAACACTAAGAGGAGAATTTTCAAAAGGTGTGGTCCACCATGAATATTTCTTAGTTGGTACTATAGTAAAGAAAGATTAATATGTAAAATTTAGTAAAGAGGAAATGATAATGACTTTTATGATATTAATTTCAATGAGTATAAAATCATAATTACACGAAATATGTATAATCAAGATAAAATATATGTACATTTAATGAAAAATATATAAAATTATCTTAAAAGTACATAAATTATCATATATTTAAAAATCAAGTTTAGGAAGCGTTGGCAAAATATTAGAGTTAAAATATATGTATATTTAATAAAAATATATAACATTTTCTTAAAATATATGTAAATTAGTAGTTGTCATATACTTAAAAAATAATGTTTTGGAGTAATTAATATGATATTAGAGCTTGAATTTATAAATTATGAGTTTAAAAAAATTTATACACAATATTTTTTTCAATTAAATAAATATAATGATAAGAATTCTAACATAAATTAAAAAAAAAAAAGTGCTTGACAGTTACTTTTAACATGACTTTATATTTTAGAAAACATGAACAATAAGTTTTTATAAAAAAAAAAATGTACGATAAGATTAAACTATATATATATATATATATAAACATAGTAAAATTTTTCTATATATTTATATTATTGTTCTTTACATAAGGCTTAATTTAAAACCTTATGAATTTCTTTTATAGCCACACAGATTTTGATATTTTTAATACTATTTATTATATTGTTGATTAATAAAATAAGCTTTAAATTTTTACAGATGAACATATATTTTCTTTTAATTATATATCTTTATTACATATATATTATATTGGTTGTTATATCAATTACGTACATACAGTAATCTCATCTGATTATGATTTATCATTAGATATTGAGGTCATAAAAATAATTATCATTTTCCTTTTATAAATATAAAATATCGATATTTTTGTTAATTATTTTTTTATGATAATACCAATTAATCAATATTGGTGATGGACCGCTCCAATTTTTTAATTCGTGCGATAATCAATTGCTAAAACAAAAAATTACCTTAGAATGGACCCCGCAGCAGCTCAAAAATCATCGCCCATCTGACCCAGCACCTAGTACCACTTTGTCTTTTTTTAAACTATTAATTTATTCCCATTTAATACGCACAAAAACCCAAAAGGCAAAAGGAAAAAAATTTTGAAAATAAAAACCAGAATCACAAAATTTAGATTTACAATAATGCCCTCGTCCGTTTTTTTTTTTTTCTATAAATGAAAATGCATTTTCATCCAATACTCCATTCCTATATTCGAGCTTCTACTAGCTCCTACCAAAGAAAAAAGAAAGAAAATAATCTTCTGAATTAGGGGGATTTTGTTCGGGGGCAGAATGTTGGGAGTGTTTAGCAGTGCGATAGTGTCTCCACCGGACGAACTGGTTGCGGCCGGTTGCCGAACTCCATCGCCTAAGATAACGGCGGATGCTCTGGTGAAACGGTTCCTTGAGACAAACTCCTCCGCCGTGTCCATGCAGATCGGAGACCATGTCCAATTTGCTTATTCTCACCACAACGAGTCCGCTATACAGCCCAGGTAAAATAATACTAGTAATAAGGTTTCTGTCTATAAGGTTTGGCTAAGATGGACTGTTTGATGATCGGAAGGTTGCAGAGAAATTATTCGAATTTTAAACTTTAATTTAAATAGGAATAATTATTACTATTATAAAATCAAACTTGAGTTGATCAACGAGTGTTTAACTGTTTATTGATAAAACTATACGCAAATTTTACTAGAAAACTTATAAAATTGTTTTCCAAAATTAAAAGGGCTAGATTTTTATGTTTTGGTTTAATCATTTCACCTAATCTCATGCTTATTTTCTTCAGATGCATTCGAAGGAACTGAGGGAATTATTGTAATTAATTTAATTGGATTAATGATTTTTGGGCTGTGGTTGATGATTGTTTAAAATAGAAAAAGAATGAAAAAAAATGATAAACTAAAATTACGGATTTTTTTTTTTTTATATAATGGGAATCAACAATCGTTCACATGTTCGAAGATCACGTGCGACTAAAAATTTTGAAGGATTTAATTTTTATTTATTATGAAAATAACATATTAAATGTAAAATTTTTAAGTAATAAATTCCCATTAATCCGACTTATAAATATGAGAAAGGACGGAAGATTCGTGGCCATGATTTCACAATCGCCTTGTTCGGAACAAACTCGATGATTCTATCTGATATATGTTGTATTCATTTTTTTGGGTGGAATCAGGTGATACGTGCATCAGTTCCCATCTTGAATCAAACTAATTGAAATTATTTATGAAAAAAAAACTAATAGGATGAAAAGATTCTTCTGTTTGTCTAGAAACAGACAAAGCCAATGAACACGGCCCTTCTGGATTCTAGCCATTTGAGTGTCTTAATATCCCGAAAAATCATTGCAACTTCTAAGTCAATTTGTTATTGACACGTGGACGGCCAGATGATTATTTATCAGTCGGTCTTTCTTTTTTTCTCTTTTGTATTTGACGGGAATAAAGTTGTGTTGGTTCTTCTTTTTATCGCTAACTTTTGATAAAAGTAAACCTCTATTATTACGTTACGTGACACTAGGTGGGTGTCCTTTTCTAACCTACCTTTCAAAGTATGTGAGGGTAATGGATTTCTCTGGATGGCATAAAGGATAAGGATTGCCAAACTTGGATCGGGACCCACGTTGGTCCCCACTTCCCCCACACCTAAGGCGGGATTGGTTAAAAGCATTATTGATCATTTTAATGTTTTAATTATAATAGTTTGCAAAAATGATATAAAAATAATATAATTTAAAATTTTAATAATATTAATATAAATTTATAATATAATAATTTATATATATAAATTATTTGAGAGGCGAATGGGAAAAAAATTATGGTTTTTTTTGGGGGCTTTCCGGTGTAGGTGATCTTATTTTGAAAATCAGTTCTGTCCCTTTAAAAAATAACCTCTTTTTCCGAGTCTTTGTTTTAGTTACAAAATTGGGTTGGACCCCATTGTGGAAATGATATTTCTTGTCACCCTGTGCTATACTATTTGCTGAGCTAATATGTTGGAACATTATTGATCTCTTGGTGGAGAATCCTAGGTTGTTGATAAGAAAATATTACTAGTTTATTTTATATCACAATTAATTAATTAATATTCCATTTACTAAGAATAATAGAGAGGAGAAAATAACAAATTAATTTAAATAGTTTTTTCTTCTTTTTCCTTTTTTTTTTTTTTTTCAATACCTCTGCCAAACATAATCTAAAATAAAGGTTTCAAGTATCATTAACATTTTCATCAATGAAATTTTCTTACATAATATATATTAGTATCCATCTTAAGTTGTATATGGCTGCTAATATTTTTTTTCTTGGGTGTTGGTAAAATGGCAGATCATTTGCTGTGAAAGATGAAATCTTCTGCTTGTTTGAGGGTGCCCTTGATAACTTGGGGAGTTTAAAGCAGCAATATGGACTTGGTAAGTCAGCAAATGAGGTGATATTGGTTATTGAAGCTTACAAGGCTCTTCGTGACAGAGCTCCTTACCCTCCCAACCATGTCGTTGGCCATCTAAGCGGGAGCTTTGCTTTTATTGTCTTTGACAAGTCTACCTCCACCTTGTTTGTGGCTTCTGTAAGCTAATTATTGTCTCACTTACTTCATCTTAAATGTCTTGGTGAGTTTAATTGCTTGCTTGGTTGGTGTCTCACAACAAGTGGGGTGGTATGATTTTGACAGGATCAATTTGGTAAGGTTCCACTTTACTGGGGAATAACGGCTGACGGATATGTGGCCTTTGCTGATAATTCTGATTTGCTTAAAGGTGCCTGTGGCAAGTCTCTTGCTTCTTTCCCTCAAGGTGGGTTCACTAGAAAAGTATTGAGAATTTTTTTTTTTTACATTCAATTTCCCTTGATCACTTGCTTGATAACCTTTCTATTCATTTCTACAGGCTGTTTCTTCTCCACAGCAATTGGGGAACTAAGGAGCTATGAGAATCCTAAGAACAAGATCACTGCTGTTCCTGCTAAAGAAGAGGAGATATGGGGTGCTACATTTAAGGTAATTAACATGATTGAATTTTGTGATTCCAATTTATGGTTCTATAAATCCTTTCAATACTAGACCTCTAAATCATGATATGTGGTACCAAGAGAAATTCATTCGCAAGAAAGCTGGTTTAAAGCTTCATACTGTATTGACAGCAGAAGAAGAGTGATACCCTACTAATAAAAAAAGAACTTATATTTGATGAGCTGTTAGTGTGTAAATTTTATGATTGATTAGATAATGTCTATCTTATTAATAAATAAATATTAATTTTTAAAATATATATACAAAAAGTAATATTTTTTAAAAAATTTATTTGTTAATGAGATACAATTATTTATCTCATTAATGAATTGATATTATTTTATTTATTAATAATGTATAAAATTTATATATCGCCAATGGATCAAATATAAAACCTAAAAATAAAAGGGAAACTAACTTTGTATTTGTTCATGCAACATGATTCTTGTTTGTGGTTCAGTTGTCCATTTCTACCAGCTGTGAGGAATCAACCACAAAATATCTTTAGTTGATCATTACCTATGTTTTGTTTGGTGAATTGGACTTTCAGGTGGAAGGGCCAGCAGTTCTTGCAGCCAGAGAGTAGATCTTTGAATCTATCCGTGGGAAAGGATAAAGCGGTTATATGTGGTTGGAAATCAAAGGCATATGCACTAGTCTCCATGGATGTGAATACATGAGTGTGACTATTGGTAGAATATATGCTTAATAGAAATGGTAGTAACTTCTTTGTGGGTAGCTTTATCTTTGTTCTTGAAGCTAGCTTTTGCTCCAACTTCATCCTTTGTACAGCTTCAACTTCTAATCTAATAAAAGTTTGTTTGAGGGTCCCATAACATTTTACAGTAGAGATGCATTGACATAATTGAAAGATGAACAAAAATTTCTTTTGATTGAGTTAATAGTAGACATTTATATAAGAGGCCATAACTATGGTAACAAAATTTGCAAGAGACCGCTGGTAAAACAAGTATAATATAAAGGGAACTCATTTCCTAAATGGTGGCAAAATTTGTCAGGGACTCGGGGCCTAAATTAAGAAGATTATGTTAGATATTATTGTCTACATGTTATTGTTTAACTTAAGTAAATAAATGTTTATTTATGGTTTAATAAATTTAAGTAAATAAGTTAAGTTTATTGAATGTTATTAAATATGATCAATTAAAATAAAATTTTGTTTAATTAATGAAATGTTAACAAAATTTTTGCTTAATAAATGTAATTAAAACAAAAGATTTTTAATTATAATGAATGAGAATTTTGTTTCATTTATGAAACAATTAATGAATGTAGTTAAAACAACAAAAAAAAATTGTTTTAAAATTTATATGGTGATGAAACGTATGAATTGAATGACATTAATGAATAAAAAAAATATTTCACTCTCTCTCCTTATATATTGATATCTTTTATCCATAAAAAATGTGAGTTAAGTCAAAAGGTCAAGAGAGAGAAAAAAAAAAAAATTATAAAACACTATTTCTAGGTAAAAAAAAATTATGGAACAAGGTATGATTTTTCTTTAGTTAACAAATAGTGAAAATCATCTTGTTCTAAAACTTTGGTCATTAAGACTATGTAAAATTAAGATTTAATTTACATAATAAAAGAGAATTCAACATGTGGTATTAGAGCTTTTAGTTTAAGAACTTGTAAGTTTCCTTTAAAGATTACTTTATATATTTATTTTCTTTTATAATTTATATTAATTTTGTTTTATATTTTGTTGAAATTATAATGTATCTATAGGTAAATAGCAACTCATATCCTTACATAAATTAAATGTCTATAACTTAATGAATATATATTTATTAAATTAATGAATATATGTTAAATAATATATAATATATTGATTAAAAAAATAATGCAAATAAAAGTTAGTAACTTTGGCATAATAAATCTAAGATAAAATAAATGAAACTTAATAGTCATTAAATTGTGAATAATATAAATGTTGCATTGTGTACATAAGATATAACAATTATGTGAAATTTATATACGATAGTTTCTAAGTATTTTGTTTACTTACAATAGTAACACCTTCCACATATGTATGTTTTAGATTATTATTATTAAAATAATTGTTATGATTATTTATTTTGATATCTATAGTATGTATAACTTGTTGGTCGCCAAAGTGGCCAAATTGAAAAGTTTTTATAGATGTCATATTAAATAAAATTCAATTATTCATGATTATGTGATGCTATAAATGAAATGATGTGACAATATATATATATATATATTTATTGAGTAAATTGAAGTTTAATGATTATAAAATATTTAAGGATCGCCCAAAAATAAATTAGTTAATTTTATAATCATATATATCGTAGTTGATTAATATAATTCATTAGATTATTTTTGCATATCCAATGATAGTAAGTATGTCTAATTAGAGTATATATAATTGTCAATTATGTGAAATCAAAATTAAGCATATATTATGTTTATTGTTGTACATTGTTGGATCACCCAAAGGAGAACTTCAATGTACATTTAATGTTTATATGTATGTTATTTGAATCTGTATCATGTATTTAAGTTACAACTCAAAGCATTAACGTATGGGCATTCTATCTATTTTGCAACATCTATTCATGTTTCTTTTCATTCATAAGCTTTGTCATTATAAAGTTCAATTGGCTTAATATTTTTGAATGGTGTGAATAAGTGTAGTATCATCTAGGTGTTCTGGATCTTGATTTGTCACTTTTGACTGATAGGCCTACTGCTATTATTGATTTTAGTAGTACTGAACAAAAGTATTTTCATAATGCTTGGGAAAGATAAAATAGACTGAGTTTAATGTTCATGAGAATGATAATAGCAAATAACATTAAGTCAACGATTCTTAAAATTGATAATGTTAAGGAATTTTAAAAGTTTATGAAAGATACATCTCAATCTGACTTTGTTGATGAGTCAGTTGTTGGGACATTAATAGGTATGTTAACTACCATCAAATTTTATTGTTCTCATACCATGCATAAGCATATCACTGAAATATCAAATATAGCAGCAAGATTAAGATTCATAAGAATGGAAGTTAGTGAAAGTTTTCTTATATAATTTATTATAAATTCTTGCCTCTTGAGTATGGTCCATTCCAAATAAATTACAACAATATAAAGGATAAATGGAATGTGATTGAACTACAAAGTATGCTTATTCAAGAGGAAGCAATGCTTAAGAAGTAAGAAATTCACTCAATTAATCTCATGGGTTAGCTAGAAGCTAGAAGTAAACCAGTAAAAAAAAATGGAAAGGGCTATAAATGACCATTAAAGATTAATGTATCATCTGCCTAAATCCACAAGAAAGAACAAAAGAAAGATAAGTATCATTTCTATGAAAAGTTCAAACATTATCAGAAAGATTGCCTAAAACGTAAGGCATGGTTCAAAAAAAAAAGGTAAGCCTAATGCTTTCTTATGTTTTGAATCAAATTTGGCATAAATTTTTTATAATACTTAGTGGATTGATTTTAGTTACACCACTCATGTTTCAAATACGATGAGGGATTCCTTACAACTCAAATCATAAATCCAAATGAAAAATTTGTTTTTATGGGAAACCGATGTCAAAGTTTCAGTTGAAGTCATTGAAACCTACCATTTAATTTTAAACACTGGACACCATTTAAATTTTTTTTCAAACTCTTTAGGTTCTTTTTGTTTCTTGAAATCTAGTTTCATTGTCTAAACTTGATACATTTGGATATTCTTTTAAGTTTGGAAATGGATGTTTAGTTTATTTAAATATAATCATTTTATTGGCTTTGGTATTCTATGTGATGGTTTATACAAATTAAATCTTAATAACCTTTTTGCTAAGACCTTATTGACCTTGCATCATAATGTTGGTACTAAACATGGTTTAATGAATGAAAATTCAGCTTATTTGTAACATAAACATTTGAGTCATATATATGAAGAAAGAATACAAAGATTGACAAAGAATGGAATCCTTCATAATTTGGATTTTACTGATTTTGGTATTTGTGTGGATTGTATTAAGGAAAAATACACAAAACACACAAATTAAAAAAGCAACTACAAGGAGCAAATAGCGCCTTGAGATTATACACACTGATATTTGTGGACTTTTTGATGTTTCATCTTTTGGTGGAGAAAATTATTTTATCACCTTTATTGATGATTTTTCACGTTATGGTTATGTCTACTTATTGTATGAAAAATCTCAGTCAGTAAATGCCTTAGAGGTATTTATTAATTAGGTTGAAAGATAATTAGATAGAAAAGTAAAAATTATCAGATCTGATAAAGGTGATTAATATTATGAAAGGTATGATGAAAATGGATAATGTCTTGATCTATTTGCTAAATATTTTGAAAAGCACAGCATATGTGTTTAATACACAATGCCATGTATACCAAAACAAAATGGTGTTATAGAAAGACGTAATCGTACTTTAATGGATATGGTTAGGAGTATGTTAAGAAATTTTTTTTTACCCTTATCATTGTGGATATATGCTTTGAAATTTGTTAAATAAGGTTCCTAGTAAAGCAGTTTCAAAAACTCCTTTTGAATTGTAGAGGGGAAAAAATCTAGTTTAAGGCACTTACTGTTTGAAGCTACCAAACATGAGAAGAATTTATCCAAAAAAAAACTAGATTCAAGAACTATCAGTGGGTTTTTCATTAGTTATCTAGAAAAATCTAAAAGGTATTGATTTTATTGTCCTAGCCATAGTACAAGAATTATTAAAACTAAAAATGCTAAGTTCATTAAAAATGGTAAAATGAATGGGACTGTGGAACCACACAAAATGGAATTTCAAGAAGTTAGGATGCAAATCCCTTTATCTATAACATCTTCTCAAATTATTGTTCCTACAATTGTCGAGTAGTTTAACAATTTACAAAAATAATAAATAAATGATCAAACTCCCTATAATAAAATTGCTTATAATGAACTTGTAGTGGATGAACCACATGAGGTAGCATTAAAAAGGTTTCAAAGGCAAAAAAGATATGCTATTTTCTGATGAGTATGTGGTTTATCTATAAGAGTCAGATGTTGACTTAGGAATTTATGAAGATCTAGTTTTATTTTCACAAGTCATAAAATGTATTAATTCTAACAAATGGTTAGATGCCATGAAAGAAGAGTTGAAATCAATAGATCATAATGATATCTAGGATCTTGTTAAATTACCTAAAGTCTATAAAAGAGTTGGGTGTAAATGGGTCTTTAAGACCAAATGCGACTCAAGTGACAATATTGAACGATATAAGGCTAGATTTATTACCAAAGGTTTTACTTTAAAAGATGGGATTGATTATAAAGAGACTTTTTCTTCGATTTCTAAAAAGGACTTATTTAGAATTATTATGGCAATAGTGGCTTATTATGACTAAGAGCTACATCAAATGGATGTAAAAATGGCTTTTCTTAATAGGAATTTAGATGAACAAGTTTACATAGACCAATCTAAGGGTTTTTTAGTTAAAGAAAAGGAACCAATGGTGTGTAAACTTAAGAAGTCAATATATGGACTTAAACAAGTTTCCCGACAGTGGTATCTTAAGTTCAATGATACTATTACTTCTTTTGGATTTAAATAAGATATTATTGATCAATATATATATCTGAAGGTCAGTGAGAGTAAGTTTAGATTTATGATTCTGTATGTTGATGATATTTTACTTGCTACTAATGATCTTAGCTTATTACATGAGATCAAAAAATTTCTCTCTAAGAATTTTGAAATGAAAGATATAGGTGAGACATCCTATGTAATTGGAATTGAAATATTACGTGATATATCATAAGGATTGTTAGGATTGTCTTAAGAAACA